AAGTACACCACGGCCTGGAACGAAAGATCTATATTTTCCTAGTCAGTACGCACAGCCTTTCCTCATTCAGTGCATTGCTTGCCTATATAAACAACAATGGTCATATTGGCGAAATACACCTTACACTGCAGTGAGATTATCGTACACAATCATCATATCTTTGATGTTTGGTACTATGTTCTGGGATCTTGGCTCAAAGAGGTAAATGGGAAAGAGAACAAAATGCATCTTTGATGTGTAGTATTGAACTAAAGACAAAATTTTAACTTCTTTTTCTTAATATATTCGGTTCATCATCGAGTAGTGTCTATCTATCATACTAAACATGTACATAATGATGAGCATTTTATTCTAGGGATGCACTTTTGTTCTTTCATGAACTCAACGTAATCTTCTTGCTATTTTAGGAGTACGGTACAAGATCTGTTCAGTGCAATGGGTTCTATGTATGCATCAGTCCTATTCCTAGGGATCAACAATGCGACTACTGTGCAGCCAGTGATTTCAATTGAGCGAACTGTCTTTTATAGAGAAAGAGCCGCTGGAATGTATTCAGCTTTGCCATATGCCTTAGCACAGGTTTCTAGCAAGCCATCTCAAACTACAACATTTAAGTTGGGGCATGTTTGGTACAATTTACAAGATTTTAACCTCCTCTCTTCTTAATACTGTTAGTAGTGTCAAATATACCTTATTGGACATGTTTATAATGTTTTCTTCCCTTTTGTAGGTTGCAATTGAACTTCCATACATATTCGTGCAAGCTGAAATGTACGGTATTATTGGCTATGCAATGATCGGATTTGAATGGACTGCTGCAAAGTTCTTCTGGTACTCATTTTTCATGTATTTCACACTATTATACTTCACCTTTTACGGCATGATGACAGTGGCCATGTCACCTAATCAACATGTCGGTAGCATAATCTCTTTAGCCTTCTTCGGGATATGGAACATCTTTTCAGGATTCATCGTTCCTCAGACTGTAAGTTCTTAAAGAACCATTTTTCTAAAACGTATTTACAGTGTATGCATGCATAGATATGGGAAAATTGCATCGTAGATCTCGAACTTATCGTTTGAGTTGCAACTTGCATGTTGATACCAAACCTTTCAATATAGTTGCACAACTAGTCACCAACGATGCATATCATCCAAAACTCTAAACTCTATTAAATCATAACGCT